CAGCAAATGTACAACGTTTCGACAAGGGTTTGTCATCCTGATGATGACAAAACCTTGTCGAAACATTGTATTTTATAAAGTATACGAGTTAGAAGTTAACAATTAAAAATATTCTATTATATTCTAGCTGCCCTAATAAGCTTTGTTACAGACTGAAAGACACAGACAACAGTAAAAAACAAAACAAATTATAACTGAAATCCTGTTATGCACTCTTCATGTTGGATACCCATATTATACCTTAAAAAATAATTTGATTTAAATTACCATCAGACTTCTTAAGTATGAAATGCAGATATTATGGGAATGTCATACTTTTATGACATTACTAAAACTGCATGTAAAACCATGGCAACACTTTAAACAGATCTATTTTTCTTTCTGTGATGTTTCATTAAATTACAGGTCAAATATTCTCCAGAAATAAACAAAAATTTAATGTTTGAATTCAAAATGTCAGTACCTGTTTAACTTCTTCTTTTTCTTTCTCACTTTTGGTTTTCTCCCATTTTTCTAAAAGTATCTGTTAAAAAATATTAACATCATCTAAAGCATAGACTTAAGAATAGCAATAATTAAACTATTTTAGGTTATGGCACAAAAGAAGAAAAAAAAAGATCCAAACTTCATAACACCCATCTTGACTTTTCATGTACGATTCAGAACTGATCTCAGCATTAATATAAATTTTTTTGCAAGCAATAACTTTCTTTCAAAATAACGTCAACTATTTAGAAGGATACAAACTGAAAAACTGTGTGAGGTCCACACTTGGGAATAACTTCACTGATTACCAGGATTGAAGAAATAAACATACTTAAAACTATATAAATATTTTGGATAACTATAAGTCTTTTCTTTCAAAAAAAAAAGAAGAGAGAAATATCTAAATCTTATAAACACTGACCTAATAAAAAATTAAATATCAAACATTTCTATAATGTCAGAGATCACGGAATTTGATAAAATACAAAAGTTTAAATTGTGCAGGACTTTAGCAGATGTAATTGTTTGTAAATATCCAACAAAAATGTACAAATGTTTGATGATTCAACAAATGTAATGACGACTGGCAAAAAACCTAAGTGACAATGTCCCACTAACTACAGAGTTATTGCAGTTTTCTATATTAATGTAACATTTAACGACAACAAAACAATCGTTATCTATTAAATTGTCTGGACAAATGTTAAATTAACTTGATGTTAAGAATAAAAATATTTGAATAATATTTTTATAACCACAAACCATACAACCTAAACGAGTGAATTTTCTTCGAAAGAAGATTTTACATTTTCACTGCTGTTTATGTCTTTCTTGATATTATCTTATCTTGAAATATGTAATAATTTGAAATGAAAAACCCACTTTATTAGTACCCACAGATACACCAATGTCATCTCTCCTTGACAACGTGGTAGTGATTAAGGTAAAAAAAAAAGGTGGCAAGACTGATAAACAAAATAAATAGTAAGGAAGTAAGGGAGAGAGAAAAATTCAATAAATGACACAACGAAGATATGAATAATTAAAAAACAGAGGAAATAGAAAAGTATAAAAAGCTAAAAGAATTTACTAGATAATAGAATTAATATTAATAATAATCATGAGACTGATTAAAGTTACAAACCAAAAATGTCAAAAGTAAAAATTTCTCAGGTGAAGACTACATGAAAATAGCTAACTGTAATTAACATTAAATTTTGTCTGTTACAGCCCTGAATACAAAATTAGGTGAAATCATTCATTTTCTGTGTAAGATACATAGGAAAACCTAGCAGTAATTAAAATTTGATGACAAGGAACCCACTTTGAGACTAATAATGGTTGGAGACGGCTTGAATGATGATGATGACAAAACCTTGTTGAAATGTTGTACATTTGCTGTTATGTTAAACTTATATTAAAGTTTTTCTTTATTACCCATTCAAGCCATCTCCAACCATCACTAGCAGTAATTACTGATTCATGGCATTTTTGTTGTTGTTTTGTGTGTGTGTGTGTGGCTCATATTAGGAACCTTTTAACCAACAAACTCAGGGACCCACAAACTATTTGAAGCATGAGGACTTTAGACAAAAGTGTTTAAAAAAGCAGCAGGGTCCATAAGTGGTTTAATTTTGCTGATTTGTTTTCTCAGCATATAAAAGAGCAGTTTTTCGAAAGCAGTAATGGTGGAAGACAAATATATTACCCAGAGTCACTGGTACAGTATACAAAGATGTATACCAATAAGAACAAGTATTTATAACAAAGCATTACAAAGCCATAAAACACGTACCTTCTGTTGTTGGAAATAACTATTCAACAGCTCTTCTCGTTTCTTCTGCACTTCCATTTTCTTGATAAAAGACTCCTGAAAAATTAGCATTATCATTAATAGTGACATATATTTAGATGTAAAAAGATCTACAAAACAATAAAAGATAACATAATATTCAAAAGTCAGATAAAAGCCATAAGTTGTACTTTTGTGGTAGGAATGGTAAGGCTAGGGGACACAAATATAAATTATGGCAGGGAATAAGTCATATCAAGATAAGACAGCTTTATTTTTCGAACAGGTTGGTTGTTTTTTTTTTGGAATAAGTTGCCTTTGGATAAAATTCATCTAATGGAGTTTAAAGAATAGACTGAAAAATATTTGAATATTAAGAGATGGCCTTGAAGTGTTTTCTTTTAGGGTTTAATTTAGTGGATAAAACAGCCTAGGTGGATTAAAAGGTCTCTTGTTGTCCTTTATAATTTATGTTATAAGAGACTCTAGGATTCAACAAAATGCATGCTATATACATTAGGAAACGTTACATGTTCTTAATGATATAAACCAACCTCATAACCATTTATGCTTGTTGTAGTTTTCATGCTACGACTTTTAAATTAGTAGGCATCTGTTAACAAAATTTGGCAGATTATCAGTAAACATTACAATGCTTTTATACACAAATATAAATTTTTTTTTATATAAGACTTAAGGTTTCTTAAGCAATGTTTTTCTCGTGCCTTTTTTTTCCTTTTCT